TACCGAGCTTTAGCTCATGGTGCCTCTGAGATTACTTGGATACAGTCGATGATGAAGGAGCTATGTATACCACAGAAAATACTTCCTAAAATCTGGTGTGATAATTTGGGAGCAAGTGCCTTAGCCTCGAATCCTGTTTACCATGCTCGGACAAAGCACATTGAGCTCGATGCTCATTTTGTTAGAGATAAAGTACTGAGCAAGGAGTTAGAAATTGACTATGTTCCATCTTCAGATCAAGTTGCAAATGTGCTGACAAAACCATTAAGCTCTCACAACTTTTAATTTTTTAGAGACAAACTAGGAGTAGTTGAAGCACACTCCAGTTTGAAGGCGGGAATTAAAATGAATCAACAAATTCATTAGCCATGCTTGTTACAACCAACACTACTCACGAGCTAGTGCAACAACCTGCTCTCAGTGCTGTGGCTCGTTCCTGATTTTTAGGAGTGGGAGAATATTGTTGTTAGACACTTGGCTAGTTTGTATAGGCTGTGAGGGAATATTTTTCTAATTGTTACACTCTTCATTCTTGTATAAATATAGACATTGTGTAATGTAAATATTATCAAAAATAGCAATACAATTTATAAAAGTCCAGTTTATACAAATTCTCTATTTCAAATTTTCACTTCTTCCAATAGAATATCGCACTATCTCTTTATCCTCCAGCTCGCATAAATCCTCCTTCTTCAAGTCGCCAATATATTAATTTCACACTTCCACCAACATGAACCCCTGACAGCACCCTATTCTTCATTCCGTCGATTGGTTCTTCTGATAGAATATCGTACTATCAGGTTAAAAATATACAATACACCAGGCTCTACTTGGACATTATTAATTTCAAATAAAATTTTTTTGTCCTCAATGTTATACCTACAAAAATCTTGCTTCTTAAGAAGTTCAAAAGTTTTAATGGTATATGTTGAAGTCATCACCGCTTCCATAACGAGGACCTCGACGTTGAAATATCAACATATTTTCCCTGCTGAAATAACCAAGGTATTCAAAAAGCCTTTCTCTTATTCAGTGCATTTTGTATTGAAATTGAACCCTATGATTTTACTCCTTTATCCTTTGGAATCCATTTTTCATTAGGAATCTATCGGTAGTAATAATGGTTGTAGGTACCAAATTTTTTTTTTTTTTTGCTCAATGAATATACAACATCGTATTTCCTGAAGTTGATGGCCATTTTCATTTGTGAGAGGAGGTTAAGCATATTTTGACACATAAAGACTTCGTGATTGGGAGAAAAAGAGTTGGGAGAAGAGGAAGAGCGAGTGCAATTCTTGTTCAGTTTTAGCGAACTTCCCTTTTTATGCTTATAAATTTCGATATTAAAAAAATGCAGGTTCACCATTGAAATTATTAAACACTTTATCCAAATATTTATCAATAGACATGGCACCCAATGATGCTGTCATTGTTATGGGCATCGACGTCGACGTCGACATGGACATTGATAGGTTTAAACCTAAAGAACCTCCTACATCCTACGAACCTCGACGATCATTTTCTTCCTTCATGATATATTTCACACTTTCACCAATATGAACCCAGACATCACCCTCTTCTCCAATCCGTCGATTGGCACTTCTTATAGAATATCGCAGTGTCGAGTTAAAAAAATACAATACATCAAGCTCTACTTGGACATTATTATTTGTAAATAAAAACATATAGAATGGAAACATTATTATTTCCTAAAACAGTTTGAAGAATGCAAGAGCATCATTTTCACATTGTTCTTCACATGCATCATCTATGAACCACACTAAAAAATTGTTGCGCAATTACAATTGGTTATTAATAAGGCCACTATTGAGTCACTACGGGCCATGCTCCAAATCACCTTATTTTGCTCATTTCATCTCAAAATTGCTTTTTTTTTTCTTGCATAGAAACACAATATATACACTCATATGAGTAGAAATCAATCCAAATAATCAAATATTAAATAGGTCTAAGAACCTAGCCAAATATTGTAATTAAGTCCCTTGGTTGAGCTCCATGTTTTTAAATATATATTTCTCATTTTTATTTTCAGTCACACATTCTCTAATTAAATAATATTTTACGTAAAAGCAAAAATTTTCCTTATTTTTAATCTTACATTCTCCCAAAAATCACTATCTCAAAATATATATTTTTCCCAAAATCTATTTTTCATGGAAACCAAACAGCGGCTAAGCTTCGATAAACTATTTGTTATTATCTTTTTAAAATAGAAAGTAAGTTTGAGTCTTTACATTAGAAGAGCCAAACTCAACCCTATCTATAGTTCATGACGATTGTCTTCAATAAATTGCATGTTTCAATATTTTGTTTCTTAAATTATTCAAGTTAGATTCGAATATTTTAGCTATTGTCATTAAAAACAATATATATTAATTGAAATGAGTAAATAATAATTGACTATTGTTAAAAAAAGTAAAATAAAGAGTTTGTTGAAGTGTGTCAAAATTTTACTCACAAATAATTTTCAAATTACTATTTATAAATATTTAACAAAATTAATATATGTAAAAGTAGCTTTTATAGTCCACTATGATCTCGTCGGTGGTTGAGCCACTTTGAAAGTGGCATTTCAACTAATACATCGACACAGAGGGGATAATGACCACGATAGTATATGGTGGCATTATAGTGAAGGACGAATTCCATGGGCTCCGAACCTTTGGAGACATCAAAATCTCAGTGTCGCCACATAGAGCCCCCACACACACTGGCAAGTATAAATCGTAGACATGCTCTACTTTGTGTTTCCACTCAATTATTGAAGCAGAATCTTGGTATGGAGCCTATAGTGTAATTCCAGAGTCAGAAGTCATGTTGTTTAAAATATATTATCACACCAACTCTACTTTTTACTATACCCTTGATCCATTGCAATTTGTCGAAAATAGGGACACCCTAGCAGAATAATTTACAAACTCTGTGAATTGGGACTGATTTTGAAGAATCATTGGTGAAGTTTCTAAAAATATAGTTTTCTTTTTCTCTAATTTTTCCATACAAAGTGAGTAAATAAATGTTTTCAGGTTTATTTGGGGTATTTGCTAATTAGAATAAAGTATTTGACCATTATATCACAGTGTTTATGGTCTTGAAATGGGTCGTGCTTAAAATTGTTAAGATTTGGGGTTCCATTTTAAAATGTTAACATTGTTAAGAAGAGTAATTCGAACCCTTTATAAATTGGCATATGTTTTTATCTTTATTCGATATGAGATTTTTATCTCTTAACATGCCTCCGCAAGATGGTGGCTCATTTAAGCAGACCAATCTTGAAATTCGTATGCTCTGATACCATGTTAAGATTTAGGGATTCCATCTTAAAATGTCAACTTTATTAAGAGGAATATCTCAAACTTTTATAAATTGGTGTATGTTTTCATCTTTACTCGATGTGGGATTTTATCTCCTAATATGTCCCCTCAAGATGGTGACTCATTTGAGCATATTAATCTTAAAATCCATGTACTCAATTTTTTTGAGTTTTAATAGAATTGAATTGCTCGTTAGAGTTTAATGAACTCTGATACCATATTAAAATTTGAGATTTCATCTTAAAAGACCAACCTTGTTAAGAGGAGTGATCCAAACCCTTTGTAAATTGATTTATATTTTCATCTTTATTCGATGTGGAATTCTATCCCTTAACGAAAATAACAGTAGTTCTTTCATATATTATGGCATCATAGATGCGATTGATACTGCCCTTCTTCATCTGTCCTCCGATGGTGGTGCTAATTGTCACGAGCTGACCTACTGTCCCATGTCCAGCCATATTGATCTTCCTCGTGATAAGACTCAAGACTCGTATTTTCTTGATCTCATTTCATCTCTCTTATCGTAATCTCTTCTCGACTTTGGTTCATCATTCCTCCTTGACCTTTTATAACTGCCTGTCTTATCCCGATCATTCTCCTTGTGTTTCAACAATGGAAAAGGTCACATGCTGCATAAGACAATAGTTGACAGTTAAGCCTATATGACTAAAGGAAAAGGTCACACCTTCCTGAACTACCATGCTGGGTTCAACAATAGATGA